AATATTGTTTTGCAAAATTTACTTTTATGTTATTGGGCTAGACTTTTGGGCCTACATCACTTAAATAAGATTTTTTTGTTGATTGAAATTTTTAATTGAGTTTTTCATTGGACTCAATTTTTATGGGTTCAATTTTTTGGTATGGACAATGTTATAAAACTGTAAAATTTGGGGCCATTTTTTTGGGAAAATTTGGAGGCTGGTCTCCCTATATGAACTTGTTTGGATTCAAGTACGTCAAGGAAACTTATTTGTTATGAAGTCATTTTTTGTCAATTTTACCGTACTCTCCCTTCTCTTTAGAAATGAAATAAAACTAAAAATTAAAAACTCCGAAATCTTAAAAGTTTGACTAACATTAAAATCTTTTCTCTCTCATATCTATCTATTTCCGTATATAAATTAAGAGTTTGACTAACATTAAAAATTTTCCTCTCCCTTATCTATATATATATAGTAACATTAAAAATAAAAAATAGTAACATTCAAATATAAAAAAAAAATTATTATTTTGACACAATAAATAATACATTTAAACACAAAAAAATAATAACATTTAAACATAAAAAAATTAAAACATTCAATATTAATATTTTAAAAAAATAACAACAATAACATGTTCAACAAATATATTAATATGTTTAACAAAAATAATAACATACTTAACAAAAACTGTAATATACTTAACAATCATGCGAAACTTGTCTTGGGACTAACTGTCAATATTCGCTTTTTTTTTAGTTGGAGACTAAAACTTGTGTTTTAGTGGCCTTATGTATGGGCCGGTGAGAACCAACTGAAGGGCCACAATGGAGCAGATCTTGCGAATGAAAGCCCACCGAAGGTCACTCTCCAGCGTCGTTTGATTGCATAGCACCTGAACATAAAGTCTCAAGCGTTGGACTCATAATTGAACCAGCTCAACTTAAATTTGTGGAGTTTAAATTTTATTTATTTTTTAAATGAATAAAACTTGAATAAATTGGAAACAAGTCGAGCCCGATTATTTACACATAAACGAATTGAGCTGAGCCAATCAAACTCATTTTTTAAATGAGCATACAAAATTGTTTAAATTTGATTCGTTTAAAAAATGAGTCAAATTTAAACGAGTCCAAAATAAACTGAATTCAACCAGAACTCGAGTAACTCGGTTCCATTATCAACCCCTATTTTCAAGTTGCACAAAACCTTGATATATATTGAATAAACACTAAGGATCCTCGTTCCCTGGCAGATTAGGCTAACCTTGGTCCATTAAGACGTCAAAATCCCCTTCAAGGTCATATCTTGTTTGAACAAAGAAAGAAAAATATGCTGTGGAGCTAATCTTTTTGAGTAACTTGAGTAGGTGTTCCAAACAAGGGGACAGTTTGGCTGGGCAATCAATACTTGTTGAAAAATATATTGCTTAATCACCTATAATGTGAATCAAGGAAAATAGACTTGTAGATGACAAAGTAGAGACAGCCTCGTTTAGCCTTTTCCATTTTTACAAAGGGGAATAAGAAATCCTTATGAATTCATTGTAGACTAGTGACTATTTGTTTGCAATGTTTTGCCTTTAAAGGATTCCCATGAGTGAGCTTAGAGGAATGATTTTGTTTTCCAGTCATTCATGTTATGATTTTTTTTATCATAGGTCTATCCGTTCCGTTATTTGACTTGTGTTTTTCATGTGACATTCAAACTGAACAACTCTATAAAATTACGTTGATATTTTTACATATTATGAATAATTTAAGAGATATCTCTATTTAAATAAATCTTACGTTAATTAGCCTCGAGACGTGAGTCTCTACACAAATCCTAACTCATTAGTTTTGGTCCTTGTGGGTCTCAATTGATGGCCCAAGGTAAGGCCTGAAGTGGACCACCCAATTCGGATTATCCCCCCGGACACACACACACACACATCAAGCCTGCACAATTACAATGAATAATGTTAAATAAATTTAAAAATTAGACTTAATAATTATAACTATTGAATAAGTAGTGGATCTCAATAAATATTAGGATCCACAGTGAAATTAATAATTATAATTATAAAATATAATTTTTAAGTCTATTTTTTAAGTATAGGTAACATTAGTTCAGTTACAATAGTTATTAAGGCTACAATCACCTCCTCAAGCGTGCAAGTCTCCTTTTAACACACCTTTACAGTACCCTACTTGACCTCCATTAAAGCTTAAGGCCATAAAGGCTTTGCTGTCATCCATCTATATCAAGACTTATTGTACCATTTGTCTCATGTAGGCCATAACCCTTCAGACTTGCCTCAACAGTGTTGTGCTGTTGGAGAGAGAGAGAGAGAGGGGGGGAAAAGATAAACATGCACGCCGACTGTCTGTTTTTTGGCCAAATACAATCTATCTAACAAAAAAGTTTTGCACCAAATCTGCCAACTGGTAACTTGTAAGGTGGTATTGCACACTTAACTTGCTCGAGTTGACTTAACGGTTGATTTATGAACGAGCTATTAATTCACACATTGTTTAGTTTGAGTTGTGCGTGGTCTAAAGACGGTTGTGTGCATCCGAAATTTTTATTTTCATTAAGAGTTCAAAAGGATGCATGATTGAAATGATTAATCATAAAAAAAAAAAATAGGATATGATTACCAAACAAAGTTACGGTTGTAAAGTTTTAGATTTGGTCGTTGTAGTGCCATTCCACCACAGATCACCGTCAACCCCATCAAAAAGAAACGTTCAAAAACCACATTAAATATAGAGCAAACTCTTACCACTGGAACCGAGTGTCAAACTACAATCTGTCTGCACTTTGTAACAAGACACTTTAACATAACAGAAGTAATACTTTATACCTTTAACGATAAGAGATTTATATTATTCAAAATCACTTTAATAATCTCAAACAAAAGCAAGATAGGGTTTTGCACACACAGAGAGAGAGAGAGAGGCTGTGGCCTGTGGGGCTTGTCCACTCACCATCCCTCAGGTTTCCACGCATAAAATCCATTATCAACAGAAAAGCAGTGTTCGTGTGTGCCATGAGAGTTTCCGCATGGAAAGACCCAACATTTAGTAGATCATCTGTTTTCATCAGTCTAAAACTTTTATGCAGAAGAAATGTTAAAGAAAAAGGGTTTCAACTTTCAAGTTTTCGTAACAGAGACAAACTGTAAACTTAAAATTCTTGAATTTGAATTTTGATAATTTTTTGAAGTCAAGTTATAAGAAATTTATTCCCTGGTCTATCTTTGACCGGATTGGAAAGAAAATTAGTTAAGGTGTGTATAAGCTGACTTAAATATCTCTAACCGTTGAAAAAAAACTTTCAAGTTTTCATGCGGAAAATTTGTTAAAGAAATGGAAGTTCCAAAAATCTCCATTGGCCACTAGGTGCAACTTTGTGTAGAAAGAGCTGACAACTCATTAGTAAATGTGGAATTATTGGGTGTTAAGTGGGAAATGCTAATCTGTCAACCAATGGCTACCAAAAGGAATTACATATGGGTTTATATAGCAGAAGGCGGATCTTAGCGCACTAATAAAGTTTCTCTATAATTTAAATGTCAAAAAAGTTGAGTCACGGAAATAACATATTCCTACTTGGATAGGGTGGTTTCATAAATTTAAGCAAAGTAGGTTTGCCCAAGTGATTAAATTCGGGTACCCATCCTAAGTACTAACTAGGGTCGAGTCGCACCAATTATGTAATGGTTTTTTCCCTTACTCTCTAGGAATAGACTAGGTTCATCTTCAAGTACATATAAAAATCACAGTATACACATAAAAAATTGGAAAGTTTGATTGGATTCTAATGGAGGGTAGTTAGAAAGTTGATTGACATACACAAGTTCTTTTTTTAATCTTGTTTTATCTTTAATTTTTCGAAGTGGCTTCCAACTGCACTCAAGTGCCAAAGTGGGAACCCATGTCTACACTTATTACATTCACTACAATTCGCATGCAAATTTCTGCCCTTTTCGGTGGGAACATATGAAGATGCTTGTATCGACCAATAACTCTCTTGTATATGCAATTGCTTGGAAATTTTGAAACAAGCAAGCTAATCCCTGGCTTGGCAAACCTCCAATAACACCAAACCTAAGTCCACCCAATAGAACAGAAGCCCTAAGGGAATGACGGAGGTGACTTTGAACTCAAAATTCTATTGCTGTCTCAATATCAAGCTATCAAATTCATTGGGAAAATGTTGATTTTGTGGGTATAAGAACCTTCAACTTTTGTTTTTTTCTACTTAATTAACAAGGAACTTTCTCAGTAATATGTTATAGATGAAAGGAAGATGAACTGTCATTTGTTTTACAGAATAGATTTTATTAAAGAGTAGTGCTATGTTTCTCAAATTTGTAACATAAATTTGTATCCCAAATCAAGGAGGACCATTAGATCAGTGGATCCCATCAATTTTTTTAAATGGGACCCATTGATCTAATGGTCTTCTTCATTTAAGATGTAAATTAGAGTTACAAATTTATGATACATATCATTACTCTTCATTAAAATGGATAGACCAGAAATGGTCTTTGCAAGCATCCCGCTTTCTATTCAAGTATCACCAACAGTTTTAAGGGCGATTATCGGGCTTCATAAAAAGCGCCTACCACTCGGTGTGAATTTTTTAATTAATCTTTTTGAGGGCACTCTAGTCTTATTTGGAGAATCTTTTAGAAAGATAATTAATTACAATAATGAGATTTGAAACTAAGGAAATTACGTGGAATATAGCAGCTAATCATGAAACAGATAATGAACATCGTTCAAAACAATGTTGATCTACATTTCCCTTTTGAGAGGGATGTTTTCATCTTGTGATGTAATAGAGAAAAATACATTTCTCGGTCTTTTGACTAATATGAGAAGCTTAGGGAAAAAAAAAAGAATAATTTTATTTTATTATCATTTTTCGAGATCTTCATAACTTAATCACTTCAAATGGAAGCTATAAGATCTAAAATGAGTAACTTTGCTAGGTTTACCTGAATGGAAGATTTGATGTTATAATCTATGGTTTTGGTTTTATCTTCCGGCAGAAAGAGTAAGAAAATGTTAAACAAGTGGAGTTTTTTGATACATAATGATTTGCCAGATATTCATTCAATATGAGAAAGTGCCAAAGAAATTTCTTGACATGCATTAAGAAGTTTCGATATAGTTTCAATGATAATTTGGAGAGAGAGAGAGAATATAATGGGAAGACCACAAGAAATAACATGGCACTTGGAACTATATTTTTGTTCGATCCTTGTAAAATTTAAAGCTATAAAACAAATATATTTTTTTGGTGAGAGGGCTTGAGAAATATTTTCTCCCCAAATACTTAATTTCTAGATTTTTAAAATATTTAATTAATCTCTTCCAATTAAATTATTCTATTTAGCTTATTTAACTACTCATCTATTTTTTGTAATTACTCCCGCTATCTTTTTAAACTATTTTAAATTTAAATTTTGGCTCATCTTTCTTCATTTTTTTTAAATTTAACAAATATTATTCTAATTTTTCATTAATAGATAATTCATGTATTTCAACCCGCTCCCACACATGTGAATCAAATTTTAGGCCAAATAGGTAAATGTCTTTTATAATTATCAGGATGACAACGAGATTTGTATATAGAGCTCTAACATCTTTTTAAATTATTATCCAAATTAAAAGGCTTAAATTATAAAAAAATTGTGTGACATAAGTATTTATATAATTCAACGTCTTTGTCTTGTGGGGACCAACACTTTAGCTATTATTTTCTTTTGAGCCATTCTCTAAATCAAAATCTTGCTTGAATGTTATGAAATCAAATCACCTAATCAAATGAAAGTTTGCAACATTCTTAAGATCTCTCCAAACCTCCAATATCTACACATTTTTTTATTTTATTCAAATTTTATGAAAGATTGAGATCTTATAGAATCTTCAATGCAAATCTATATTCTTGGTGTTCTGTTGTTCTGTCTATGCTAGAGAACAACCTTAGGCACCAGTTTGTACCCAAAAAAAATAGGTGATATTATGTTATCAAACTCTTCCCCCCCACCCCTCAAATAGCTTAAAGTCAAGAAGCTATTTTTTTTATTGCAATATCCCATAGAAACAAAACTTCTATAGAAATGGAATCTCTTAAACAAATTTTGGTATGATATAGAAAAAAAAAATTCGATATCTTTTTTTATTTTTCTCATTTTAAAATAATCTTATTTTAAAAACTTTTAGTATCAAAAATCTATTAGGAATTTATTAATTGTCCTTTTTGTTGACCTGCATGGAGGATTAAGAAAGGACAGAAAATAGGAATATTACTGAAGCAAAACTATATATATAATTGACAGGAGTGATAACATCCCTGTATGAACCCATAGAGAGAGAGAGAGATTCGTTAATTCCGTCATTTGTGGGTGTCCAAATCAAACGGCGGTGAAAGTCCATGCACGCACTTTTCTTTCTCATTAGAAAGTAATCTGCCGTCAAAGTCATTAAACGGACATTTCTATTTTCTTCAATTTGGTCCTCTGAATTTACACATTCAAACGTATGTAGTTTATAATTTGAGGGTATTTTAGTCATTCAATTCATGGGGCTGTAAAGGGAAATTATGCCCGAAAGTTTTAGGGAAGGGTATCCCGTGACCCGCAAGCCAAATTGCCCAAAACACTCTCTCTCTCTCTCTCTCTCTCCGCTTCTATATAAAGAGCTCACTCGTCTTCCCTCCTCTCTCATAAAAAAAACTTTCAGAGTTTGGGCGTTGTGGTTTGAGCAATAAGTTCTCTACAAGAACAGCACAAAATAAGGTAATCTTTTCTGCTTCATAGTCATAGTCTTTGCCTTTGTGTAAATATATGTATATCTACACAATCATTTTCCCCTCTCTCTCTCTCTCTCAGTTTTTAAGTCAAGTTTAGTATTGGAGGTTGAATGCATCCATGATTCTCTGTTTGTAACCTTCACACACACACACACATATACAACATTTTCCAATCTATCATAGATTGAAAATTGCAATTGCTTAATTAGAAATTAATCCTGCCCTTCATCGGCTAAGATTTGTATATTTAAGTCTATTTTCCCGGTGACATGGGTAAGGATACATTGTAAATGTATGAGAAATATCGATGCCTTCTCTCAAGATGGAATTATCACCATAGTCGATTTTTTTGCATGCTTCTAGAATATTGCCACGGTGCAATTACTTCCATATCAGTCATATGCTAAAAAGCAAATAAATGCAACAAAAGGAAAATTGTTAATTAGAATTGTATGTACATCAGTACGAAATTCTTCATCCTTATACTCCTTTTCTAAGGATTGAATTTCATCCCAAGTTTGCAAGAAAAACTCTGGTTCTAGTGATAAAAGTCTTTTCATTTCTCTTTCGCCAATGGTCCTTGATTCAGATGATAGTCACTCCCATAGCAATAATATATAGGAACAGAAGAGTCAATGCCTCTTCGTAGATCACAACTTTTCTAACTTACATAGGACTACTATACCGGTCTAACAATAAACCTGAGCAACGGGTCAGGCCGGACCATGCTCCATGGACCAGGATGATCCAACCCAAATTAGGCTAATGGACGAGATTATGGGTCTTCCCAAGGGCCAGCTATGCACGCTTTAATCAGACAATACAGTTGGGCCTACACTCCAAGTCCTCCAACCTTTTTCGGCCAGTACGTGGCCATGGGCTTTTTCAACTTCGCCGCAATTTTTTTTTATTTTTTCTAATTGTACATAGAATTGAGTTAAACCACCCTTGATAATATTTTCGTTCACATTTCAAGAATTCTATTGAACCGATGACGCCATTTGAACCATGGCAATTTTTTCTGCCAATAGCCTTCAAAATTCAGACTCCAATATACTTGGGACAAAATCAAATATCTATTTAACTTAATATTTTGGTCATTTATGTTCGTCTGTCATGGCTCATGTTAGTTGTATTTCATGAGGAAGAATGCATGGAGTCCCCTCCCCCCACCCCACCCCACCCCACCCCTTGAACATATTACCTTTTTTTTTTAATCACATTTTCCAATCAATCATATGTAATGTTACTTGCCCAAAACTAGTTCCATGCATGTATGTGCTTTAATTTAAATGTTGAAAAAGCCAAGTCCTTCAAGGATTAAGAACACTAATTCTATTGGAACCCTTATTTTTCTTGATTCTTTTTCAGTTTTTGAGTCTAAGTTAGATGGTTAGAGGCAGAAACGTCAAATGTCCTAGTTTATTGCGTGTTGCAAACTAGTACTTAAATATGGTCCAACTTTAAGAATCTTTCCAAAAATGATTCGATGATCTTAAGGATTTGATAATCTTTTGGTGACAGCAAAACTGCACGTTTTCTCTTACAGACATAACACCCAAGTCCAAGAACCTGTCATTTCTATGAGAAGAACGCTAAACTTGCACGTTGCCAATTACTAATGTATTACATATCTAAAATATTCTAGCCATCTTGACAAAACTCTCCGGAGAGAGAGAGAGACAGAGAGATTATGGCGGCGTTTAGAAGAGTATTTGGGTCTAAATATTCTAGTTTTGTATTGTTTAGCTTCTTTATTTACAACTTTATTGTTACACCAAAGTTTGCCTGCATGCAGAGTAAGACTGCGTACATTTAACAACATCTACTACCGTTCTGCAGTGGGGATACATGTTGATTTCTACTTTGTATGAAGAAATAGGAGAATAATAAACATTCAATTGCAAAGCAATTCAACAGTACGTGAATCGCAAAAGAAGCAAACCCCCCCCCCCAAAAAAAAAAGCCATAGAGAAAGAATAAGTTAAAAAAGAGCGGGATTCAATTGTGATCAATAATACGATCAAAAAGACCATCTCGCTTACTGGTTGTTAATAATACTACCTATCAGTGTTTTCTGAGTTAGAACATCCTACAAATGTCTACTAAAACCTACATATGCGGGTCCTCCGCAAAAACGGCAGTAGTGAATTATTAAAAAAGAGAGATGGAAGCCTCTACTTGGGTTAGGTTCCATCGCGACTCTAGTTTTTGGTATATGTGACACAAGAATGATTGATTGTGGCTTTTAAGATTTCAAAATCTAGGCAACAGCTGAAACATACAGTTAGACACTAGTTGAACTTATCAAAAATTAATATTGCAGTGCCATTCGAAAAATTTTATAATTCAACCTGTCAATTGTAGAGCTAAAGATGGCATCAGCTGACTTAGACCATGGAAGTTCAACTGAAACTATCCTCCAATGATCATTATGTGTTGAGTCACTCACTGATTTGAATATTTAGTAGCGTAAACTCCTTTACAATTTCATTTTATTCATTGTTAAACAAGTTTCCTTCTCAAAGTGATGTTTCTCTGCATAAAAATAGTCCTGAGATCAACAGTACTGCATGTATTTCCCAGAAATCTGGTACAAAAACTACATTAGCTCTAACTTTGTAACCTTAAATTTTCATGGAAAGCTCGATTTGTTGTTCGATTAATAGTAGCTCGATTAATAGTAGCCTGGTATGCATTATTTTTAGGACCCCTTGATTAATGTCATTGAGAAACATGTAACTTGTAAGCTACTGTTATGGATTCTGGTTATGTAATGTGGAAATTTCTTCTTTTTTTTTCTTTTTTTTCTTTTTTTTTTGCAGGAAGAAGTTAGTTTTCAGAGAGTTAGTCTGAAGATGGGATTGTTACAATTAACAGCAAACGAGAATGGAAATGCTATTTTAGTTTCACAAAGTTCATGGCTGGTGAGTTCCATATGGCCACTTACTAACACTAAATTTGCACGGTTGCCTGACAAAATAATACATGAAATTTGATGTCTTATTAAACAACGCTCTTCTTCTTGGCCATATTTGTTGATCTTGAGATCAATTCTATAGCTAAATCATGTTCACATTATGTGTTGGACATGGGTTTCTGGCCCAAAAGGTGCACCTAGGAGGAGGAGTGAGGATCTCCTCATCACCAATTAATATGAGACTCGTTCGACACCTCAACAATTCCCCTCTCGGATGAGGCTATACAATAGATGACCATCTTTGTTTTCTTACCCGGCATAAAGAGCCGAGTCCACACGGTAGCGTGGGCCATAGCTTTGATATCACTTGTTGGGCGTTTACATCCGAAAAGACGTACCTAGTAGGTGGAGTGACCCCCCCTCTTATATGGCCCAAGACGGATGTGGGACTTATTTGACACCTCAACGTTCTAAATTTATCATTATCTTTAATATTCTTATGTATTCACATATCTTTTGAAGATAATTCTATTTACTAAGATCACTGTTGTGCAGATGAAACACCCTTCGGCCTTAGATACATTCGAACAGATGATGAACATAGCTAGAGGGAGAAAGATAGTAGTGTTTTTGGACTATGATGGAACCCTCTCAAATATTGTACCAAATCCTGATGAAGCTTTTATGACTAACAAGGTAAATTCATCTACATAAGAATGTCATTTGGTAAATGAATTGTTTAATTTTTCCACATTTTTGTTCTGTATGTGATAGTGTGATTTGAGAACATAGAGATTATTACTTGATATGGCAGATCATGAACTGTGCAGTGTCTGTTCTGCTAAGAACTATTATAACCATTATAACCCTAATGGGCATGGTGAAATAAATTGCAGATGAGAATTGCAGTACGCGAAGTTGCTAAATGCTTTCCCACCGCAGTCATAAGTGGAAGAAGTCGAAATAAGGTAGGTAGTATTTTGTGTGACAATTAAGGAGTTACTTTCTCAACTGACTCTCACACTAGTAATCGAAGGGAATCGATAAATTTTGTTTTGCTGTGATAGGTGCATGGCTTTGTGAGATTGGACAATGTTTATTATGCTGGGAGTCATGGTTTGGACATAGCAGCTCCATTACCATCTTCAAAATATGCAGATCAAAAGCATCAAAACAGGATAGCTGATGAAATGGTAGGTTTTCATTGCTTGAACTCCTCATAAAACATACTCAACCATAGAAAATACTAGTTTTGCACAGTAATTTGATCATTAAAATAGAAAAAAAGAACTCGAAGGGTCAGCTCAAATGGCAAGTTTTCTTTGGTGATAGCCAGAGGTCCCCGTTTCGAATCCTAAGGCCACCTGCCCAGGGCATAAGCCTTTACGATTTAATTGGCACATGTGGTTAATGGGGTATTCCACGAGCCCCGGAGGTGTTCTCCAGTGGTTATGCAGGTCGTTGAGAGAGAGAGAGAGAAGTTTAAACAACTGTTCTCATCATATAGTTGATATTTTCTTGGTTACAATTTCAGGGTAATGAATTTGCTCTCTTCCAACCAGCTCAGAGGTACCTGCCTGCAATTCGAAAGGTACATATATTTTCATTTGAAGATTTTTTTTTATCCCTATCAGTTCTGTCATTGAAGGTTTATTTATAAAACCGATCGTAGTCGGGTGCTTAACATTTCTTCTTCCTCATCATATTTGAATTTTTGTGTTTCTTGCAGATGCTTATTGCATTGAATGAGAAAACCAAAAGCATAAAAGGAGTTGTTATTGAAGACAATAAGTTCTGCATATCAGTGCACTACAGAAATGTACTTGATGAGGTATGTTATCTTTACATTGTCGTTGCTTGAAAGAGGCAGCTATTGAGCAATGGACTTCATAGCTAATGAGGGTATATGCAAAAAATGCAGCATTTTTGCACTCTTGAAAAGCTGGTGAAATCTGTATTACAAGATAACCGCGATTTTCGCATATCAAAGGGCAAAAAGGTAATAGAAATTAAGTTTAATTACATTATATATTATTATTAACTATATATCACTCATTTTGAGAGTGTCTTACTAGGTTTTTGAGATACGCCCTGACATAGAGTGGGACAAAGGTCATGCTTTGGAATATTTACTTGAAACTCTAGGATTCAGCAGCTCAGATGATGTCCTACCCATTTACATTGGAGATGATCGAACCGATGAAGATGCTTTTAAGGTATAAATTAATTTATCCGGCATCAAAGATTTAGCTTTGTTTGGGTTGGATTCAGATTAACCCTTCCAAGTTATACACCTAAATATCTTTTGTGAGGTGTACGAATCTATTAATTTGAAGCTAAGTACTATAAAGTACTACATAATAATTCATCTGTGCTGCCATGACATCTTTACACCTTAAAATGGAGGAAACTCTACGGTACCAGAAAAAAGAAATTGGAACCGAACCATCAGTTATTATTTTGTATGGTAAATCTATAATTTTAAAATGAGAAGTTACAACTATTCAGGGAAGTCATGATCGATCACAGACAGCCATGATCGATTATAAAAAATATTGTATCGATCTCAATATTCTATGATTAATCATGCTTTTTGAAGTTGTAACTTAAACATAAAAAAAAAATTATAATTTTCGGTATCAGTACTACCGGCGGTATTGTAGAAGTTCCCTAAAAAAGAAAAAGGAAAAACAGCAACCCCACTTAAAAGGATTACTACATTTTATTATCTTCGTCACTGCACCTAATCACCCATTGTTCTTTTTCTGTGAATGCTTACAGGTAATAAGGAACAGGGGAGAAGGTTTTCCAATAGTTGTTTCTTCCACACCAAAGGACACGATGGCTCTGTACTCTCTGCGTAACCCAACAGAGGTCAATAAATTCTTGTCACGTTTAGTTACTTGGAGGAAAAAGACTTCTTTCTGCAAGTTAGTCTAATTAAAGAGAGGGAAAAGCATAGGCTACAGAATGTAATGTGGCCCGGTTTATAACCCTTTGATGAATCTGTGGCCATGTCACATTGTAATACTTAACAATTTTTCCTTTCGTTTTCCTCTTTTTTGGGAATTTCTGCAAAGAAAGACGACGGTCCACTATAATTTGATCCGACATTATATGAATGACTCCAATAAGAACGAATGAGGTATTAATGGAGAATTGAAATTTTTTTCAAGAGGATGCTCTTTTCTAAATTACTTGAGAAGGTTTTGTTTTATTCGCACGAGGTGCAACATTGTAAATTGTGCTTCATAAGATAACAGATAATATAGAGTTCATAAAGTGTAGGTGTTGCATACTTGATGAAAATTGCTCTTTCATGTCTGTGTTTTTGTTATTATATAGACAACATGTTCGGATTTTCTTTTGCTCATTAAGTGGCATTGTTCCATAGACTACCCCAGGCCCGAATACCTTCTCTTCGTTGTTTATTTATTTATTTTTTTGAATTCAACAGTCAGAGTGTCTGAACTTTACGCGCACCTTAACTAAACTCCTCCTAACTCCAATCAAAAATAAATCATCTACACTAAGACTAGGATATTTATGAAAGATAAATCACTCATGACCTAATTCCAAAGAATTATCAAGATTCGAACTCAAGATATCTAAATTTACAATTTATCATTATTACAACTTGAATTACCCTTTAAAGTTCAAGAAAAAAAATGGCACGTGTAAAACACCTTACCGTGTGACATAAATATCTCCTGTCATATTAAATTCTCAACTTAGAGCCTCTACTGTTCAAAAAAAAAAAAAAAAACTTGGACCCTATCTGATAGAGAGGACTTAAACCCATCCTGGTGTCTCTGTCTGTCATCGCTGCAACAAAAAAAACCCGGAAAAATCCCCTTTCCATCCAAAAAAGTGCTAACCTGTACGTATGAACAGTAACTTCTACCCATATATTTCTCTAGCCAAAAAAAAAAAAATTCATATATTGCATCCCGAACATACACAGTTTTTTTTAAATTACATAATCACAATTACCACAACAGTATGAAAGAGCATCAATTTTTTACCATCAGTATAAACTCCGTACTCTAATATTTCAACCGCCAATGATATCTGCTACACTGTCAACATGTTGACCAAGAGTCAAAAGTAACTAGTATAAACTGAATTTATCCATCAAAACTCTAATAAGGAAGAAAATCCTGATTGGAACAGACGTGTATAACAGGGTAAAACCCTGAATCCTGAATCTCAGTGGAGTTTCTACGTCCATGGAATTACAATGGGTTAAATCCTACAGGGAAAAAAGGGACCAAAAACAGATATCTACGCGTGTCCTGCTTCCCCCTTCTTGCCAAGCTTCCATATCCTTGAAGAGGGCAGTGGGTTAGAAACTGACTAGATAGTTTACAGACACTGAGTTATCTATGGATGACCATTTCATAAGCAAACAATATAAAGAGATAGCTCCATCAGAAACTAAGATCCTCTTGGTTTTGCGTGTGAGATGAGAACAGGAAAACCTGGTAATGAGATGGTTCCTCATTAAAGCTTCTCCCATCATCATTTTCTACCTGTTTTGGGGAGGCAAGAGGCGGGAAATCCTCATCTTCAACCTGATAATTCAATTGGACCACTGTGTTCCAACATAGTCAAATCCTCCTGTTAAGAGAGGACATAGACAGAATCACAAAATGATCCACTGTTGCAAGAATTGGAAATGATTGTTGAAATTTTGCTTTATACCTCAACAAAATATAATTGCAAGACGAGTTAGTCTCAATGTGCAACCTGAAGTTTTTTAAAATTCTCAATTTGTGCCTAGAATTCAACTTTGAACACATTCAATTTTTAAAAGACACTCCACTTTTGCTCTTTTCTCAATACCCCGTTTAAATTGACAACGGAATGACCCAGTTTTGGGAAGTTGGCAAGAATTGCAAGGGGAAAAAACACTCAAACATGCGAAAGTAAAACATGCAGTACATGTGCCCAGTTAGTTCTTCACGTAGACATACCCCACCACCCATCACCACTGGGCCTTCCCAATGTCACCCATCACCCACCTAATTCAATTAATAACCAATTAACAACCTCTTGCCTGAAGACATTATGTAATATCAAAAATCAAGTACTGATCGTGCAATATTTATATTTTAAATAACAATATTATTTAATTTTACAATTTAAAATTAAAGTGAACAGATACAAAACAAGAAAGAGGTAGATATGAATTAGTAGAGTTATCTAGCATTGGGGAGTGTGCTGGTTGATTTGATTTTTTTGGCAAAAAAAAAATGGAATGAATTTTGTATCATTGGATCAAAATAGAAAAAAAATTAAATCAATCTTGACCGTTGTTATGCTTTTTATAAGATGAAAATTCAACTTCCTAACTATCATATTAGATAGATGTATAGATATTCGTGTATCACATTGATAGAATTTCTAGGAGATGGAGAGGTAGTTTCAATCATTTTCTATCAGAGAAAAAAAAGGAGAGGGAAAGGTGGTGGCAGTTGAGGGTAGATGTGTGAGGGCTGAAGGGATGGAGGCGCGGGAGATGGCCATAGAGGTAAAGGGCCAATGGGGTGGAGGCTGGGATACGGCGGCAGCGGTGGAGGGCTGTGAGTGGTGTGTGTGTGTGTGTGTGTGTGTGTGTGTGTGTGTGTGTGTGTGTGAGAGAGAGAGAGAGAGAGAGAGAGAGAAGCTGATGATAGCAAAATGGCAAGTAGAGCACATTTCAAAAATTGAAGGTGCAACGTGGTCAAAGTCGATCGATAAGGGACAAATTGAGATCTTTTAAGAACTTCAGGGAGAAATGCGCAATTGCGTCTGGTAAGATATCACACATCCGTAAAAGCCTCTAAAGCAAAAAATGTTACCTATCATGATGGGGTGAAGATGGCTGATCTGGTGAAGACCGTGGCATAGAGCCCCATGAAACCTATGTTCATCAAATGGTCCCACAACCCGACTTCCCTCACTCAGTGGGGACTGGTCGTTCATATCTGAGAAACCCACCGGGCCTAGAGACCCAAACTCAAGCTGTTCAGCATGCAAACCATAACCAGCATTATGGTCGAATGGATACTGCATCACAAGATATGAAACATCAGGTCCATTTGATGACTCTCCATTGGCGTCCAGGGCTGGTAAAGTTTGCATGCCATACAGCCCACTAGGACCGCTACTCTGACCGGACTTTGAGCGTAATGGACCATTTTGTGCTTGGTATGAAGGAAAGAAGTCATGTCTGTATGAGCTCCACGACCCGTCTGCTCGGGCCTCACTTGCAGGCAACCGGTCCAGCCTTGAGCTTGACTTCTCTGTTTGGCTGCGCCTGTGACTCCTCCCAGCAGCCCGTGATTTTGAGTATGAATTCCAGTTGGCATCTCTGTCATTATGGTTGTCACTTCTATCGTAATTGTAATTCCCCCTTCTGGTACCTGAGGAATGCCGGTCCCTAGCAGAAACCCTCTGAAAATAACCAAAATAAAAGGTCAAACATCTACTTAAGTAAAGACTGTTCAATGGGGTACAGAAGATAACACAACTGGCCTTTGCAGTAGATAATGATGGAAAACATTTTCTAAAGCCCTCTGGATAATCGCTAAACACAACATTACTTTAAAAAAAGAGAGGGCTTTCCCTTCAGGTATTTTAAGACCCTGTTTACCTGATAATTTATAAAAAGAGGGGCAATTGCCTCACGAGAAACTCATAGACTGGTCTTCCATATTTTTGTGCTTTTTCCAACTGTTTCTTTATTGACGTGTTTTAGATATGTTGTTCTTTACTGATATTACTCACAAAATCTTGAAAACACAAACATTTTAACCATTAAATGCAGAGGCATCAGGAAAGGAATTCAGCCCAGAGTCCCAGACCACACCGCGTCAACAACGACAACATAAATAAGTCATCAGTACACATGATGCCAAGGCAACAATCAAAAGTGAATTCAGAAATTTCATAAAGAAGTAAACTACACCGTTCTCTGCTTCCACTTTAATCTCAATAAGTCAACAAGGTACTTTGCTGTGATAGCAGGCCAGCCTCAGTATGGACTGAAACAGCGGAAGATAAAAGTTTATAAAATTTTCCATGCATTTTGTCTATATCTTAGCCATGGGATACCATTCGCCTCAGTACTGGCATGCATCAGCATCACTGATTATGGGTCATCATGAAAAATGCAGATGCAGGCAGGCCCATTTCTACAACTCCAGCCATTTTTCCTAATTAAAGAAACCAAAATTTGACATATCACGTAACCGCTAAACTAAAAGGAAGAATGGCACAGACTGCAAAGGTTAACCACTCTATACATGAAATTGATCTTTGCATCGTAAATTAAGACTAAAACCACACACTGAAGGTAATCCTTCAGAACCACTGGTGGACTGTTTTTTAAACGACAAACATAATGCTGTCGATGGATAAACTAGATCAGAGGGCACTATGTTTCCAGAAGGAAAAAAAAACTGCTCTCCCGTTAGGATCACTGGGCACACTGGCCAATATTCAAAGCGAGTGTATGCACCAAAAAAATGCATGATGTCTTACCAATTACCATGCAACAACACTGACAATGATGTGAGTAGAAATAGATATATCATGACATATAAATGAAAAAAAAAGAGTAAATGGATGAAGACCAAAAAGTGGATTGATGGAAAGAAAAAAAAAACTATCTTACAGGATTTGGCAGGTAAGTCCCAGTCCCAGAACGGTATCTTGGCATATCATCATAGCGTTGATAAACGTTCGGAGGTCTGTGAGAAACAGACTGTAAAGGAGCCACAGGAACAAGATGAGGGCCATAACTCATAAGCTGAGTGAAGAGATTCATGTTGGCCGAAACAGGTCTTCCGGGACCATCCCATGGGAAACGGCCCTGCAGATACGTGGGTGGTACCATGACAGGTGAAGGATACACCAGAGGCCCATGGGGCCGTGGATTTTGGCAAAACCGTCCATATTGCAAATTTTGCCAATGGCTAGCAAAGTCACTGTTAAGTATGTCAGACTTATGCTCATCTGATGTCTCAGTAGAAGCAACCCCTCCCACAGAATTAGAAGTATTTAATTCCTCAGACTGGTCAAGTCCATCGGCGAAGTTCTGAAAAGAATCCCCATTATCAACACCCTCCTCCCCACCAAAATTGCTTGTCGATGCATCAGAAGTTCCAGTTTCAGGTGGCATATTATACACCGGAAGCATTGTAAGGAATGGAACCGGTGGCCCAGTAGGATAAAAGGCAACCAGCCCAGAATTATCCATCATTCTTTGCCTAGAACCAGGTCCTAAGAGCATGGGAGCAATGTGTGCCATTGAATCTTGTCTGCTTGTCTGGGATTCGTATCCAGGTATGTGATGCATTGGGTGTAAAGACGCAGCAGACAGATGTCCTGAGTTTCTTTCTGCCATTTCAGTTCCCGTGTTTGACAGTGGATTCCACTCCTGATCATCCTCCTTAGATTGCGTAGAAACAAGTTCCGACATAACTTTCCCTTTCCCATATTCAGCAGAGGGCTCTGAAGGAACCATTTTCTTTCCCATTTTTTCCCTTGTTGACTTTGAGACCTTCGCAGATGATCGAACCCAGGAACTCTCAGAAGAGGTTTTACTTCTTAGAGAACCACTGTGAGCAGCAGAAGAGAACCTTGAACTTGTCGTTCTTTCATCAGAGTATACCTCATATCCTCTTTTATCTTGATAGAGGCAATTATCTAGACAATCTTCCCGTGTGGATGCTTGTTGTTCTTTAGTATACTTTTGTTGGACTCTCATAGAACTGCCAGATCCACTCATCTGAGAAGGGGGAGCAAAGTCAAAGCCTGCTTCTGTTGAGGGTGGCTTATCATTTGTTGGAAGCATTTCACAATTCCCATTATCAGGGTCACAGCCTCCAGTAGAATCCAAATCCTGCTCCGTCCAGATATCATCAGCCTCCCCTGAGTTCACTAGTGCAGAACCGAAATCCTCCGTACATGGCTCTATAGAATCTTCTGAATTTGAGGCCAATTCAATGCCCGGGAAATAATGAGCTAATGGCATAGAAACCGAACCATGAGGAAATTGAATATGTGAAAATGAAGGATCAATCAATGGAAAATTTGTAGGAACCATCCCAGCCATATTTCCCTGGGCATACCCCATAGAAGCTAGGATGGACGGAGAGATTGGAAAAGGCAGGTGAGCTGAAGTTAAATTGAGTGGCACATCCTGGCCATTGAAACTGTGCGTGGCAGAAGATGCCATCATGTTCACTAGATCTTGATCTTCCTGATGCATTCCCTGTGTCCCAAAGGTGGATGACATCTCTTCACTCATGGCACCAAAGCCTGAATCACGGAGATAACTGTTTGAACTGCTGTTCATGTCAGCATCAGCATCAGCATTAGCATCAACACTTTGACGAGATGGAACTTGCCTGACAGATGAAGGATCATCACTACAAGATTGGCCACTATGGCTTGCTGAAATTTCAGACCGGAGGTTCTTCCTCCTGCCACCATCGAGTCTTGCAGAAGTAGCCTGGCTTTTCCCACTTTGTGGTGGTTTGTTATGCATTCCATGAAAAGACACATCACCATAAGTGTCGGTTAGCTCAGGACTAGAACGTGTTCTGGCAAAAAAACACCTTCCCTGGATGTCATTCACCACGGGATCGGGTTTCAAATTTAATCGACCTATATCAGATTGTGCAATCTGATTAGAATTAAATCCCCGTACAATCTGATCAGACACCCTTGAGTTGTTCATGTTGCTATAATTCTTCTGGCTTTGAGTGCGAGAAGGTGCAGAAATATCATTGGTTCTAGAAATACTTTCTGATGTACTGCTGTTTTGGGAGGAAACACCACGTGGCCGAGTACCCCCAATCTCATTCTCATGACCATAGGAATTGTCGTTCATTTTTTTGCCACGTAAATTGTTCTTATGATTCTCAGGCACAAGAAGTTGATCAGGAGTGGATGATCTCAAGTGCCTCAGATCAGTCCTCGGGGCATCAGGACGCAGGCCACTGCCATGCCTATCCCATGTATTCATGAAGAACTGATTTACTTCAAAATCTAGGTCTTCTGAGGTACAGTCAAGTAATCTTGCCAGTCTTTTAGCCCCAAATGCAAATGCACTGCGTACCCTAAAAAAATTACCTAATAACAAGATAGATTAAACATTCCAAATTAATTCAAAAACAAAATATGCAAAGAAATTCCGACCAAAATACATTTCTAGACCAATGTGATACTGTTCAATAATTTAAACAGTTGCATAAGAAGCTAAAACACAAAAAGTTGACAAAATAATTTGAGCTTACAGCAACACTAAAAGGTCAAGACTCAAGACAGAACAATGTGACTTCTGCCGAACAAAAAATGTTCCTTCTGCTCAGTCTAAGAATAATGGCGCACACATATTTGGATGCCTTCGAATTAGGGGCATAGGACATCTATAAGCAAACAATTTAAAGGGAAGAGAGCTTAAGAAGCCTTCCCTCCCCATTTTTCTAAATCCTATCTTTTCGACAAAAAATATTTTCCATCTAATCATGCTCTTACATTCATATCACTGCTCTCATCAAGTTCCCACAACTTTTAACTTCCAACTCTTTTTTACTTATTTTATAATTTCTTAATTTTCTGTTATCTTCTCTTCTCTTCTCTAATCTTCTCATTAAAATGGATGGAAAAAGGGCGCGGGATTGGATCGAGGTATAAATCCCGTGCATGGATTTGACACTAGTATTCAATTGACCCAATGACTGTCCAGATCTAACTTTTTTCCTCGATGAACAAGCAAAACATGAGGCTTTAACCAATGTGGAGAGAAAATAGAGATATAAACAAAATCCTGGACCTTTAGATCCCTTTGGATGTTCAAAGCCCTATTCATGATTCCTCGTAATAAAACTAATTATCACAAATATACACACATTTCTGCTCCTCAGTTGCTCAACTACGACCATGTTGAGCATGGGACAATATGGCATTTTTAAACAAAGAGTTTAAAACACCCTCCTAAATTTAACAGTTCTCCCTTCTTCCCCTAGCTTCATACCGAACTTGGGGAAATTTTTAGACAATGATAACACGAGGAAAATACATAAGCAAATTGAAGTTAAAAAAAATTTACATGCAGCAGCCAGCAATCCATGTGGTGTATGTGTCCATGCCGCACCCAACAGGTCATTTTTCCCGTATTGGTCATTGTTGTAAGCAGGTAAATAGAGCAGTACACACCAACGGTCCAGAAGCAATTGTCTAGAAACCAAAAAACCTAAGGCTCAAAACCCACACCTTAGGTAAGGCCCCCACTTCAGACAAACATGGGCCAAAGACCCATGAATTCACCAAGTGATAAAAATATGCAAAAGAGTGCAACCACATTGGAGGCCAAGGGAAAAATAGGAAAGGCGTTAGATCAATTACATCAATTACAACATTAAAAAGGACAAGTCAAGTTCTTGTCATAACAGACACATGACGAACTCAGGTTGACATGAGAAGTTCAAAGAGCTCATGAAGGATAGTTAAAAACGACGTGTCATTCAACTCGGAACAAGATGTGTAGTCTAGAATATATACAATGAAAGAAACTTAATTACCTTTACTGACACTACGACCAAGGTTGTTATTTACACGTAAAGGATCGATGACATTAAAATGCTTGGAAACAAAAGGTTGTCCATGATTCTCCTGGCCTACAGGGTACACAGCATATACAGAGCTACAAGCATTAAGAAACAACTTGCTAAGCAGCAACTCTCCACAGTCCTTTCGGGGAGGTTCTGCTGCAAAATGTTCCAAATAGATACATTAGACCTAAAAACTTGGCCGGTTTCCTCTAGAAATAGTGCTAGAATGCATCAAATGAAAAATCTCTAGTGATTATTACCAATTACATCCGGAAGTGAACTAATGGGTACAGGACCCCATAGGCTAACACAAAAGTTGTCCCAGTCAAAGTTACTAAAGAACTCCAAAAAACGGTGAAGGACCTGCAAGTGCTGAAAATCCTCAGATGGAAGCCCAAGATAACAAAACAATATAGGAAGTAGGAACTGCAGAAATTAGTAACCTCTAGCGGTCCAGCAAAGGAATTGTTAAAAACATGAAATATGTAAAGAACCAAGGTCTCCAGGGCATAGGTTGATATCAGTCCATGGTGAGCACCCAGTATACGACTCTCATAATAACACCATGCCTTGATCAATATAATGCTACGCTTGAACAAGTGATCCTGGTTTATCAAATTATCAACCTGCACAAGTCATATTCTTGTTAAGTAACAACAGCACAAATATGATCAGATCAATATAATGCTACGCTTGAACAAGTGATTCTGGTTTATCAAATTATCAACCTGCACAAGTCATATTCTTGTTAAGTAACAACAGTACAAGTATGATCAAAGTTCATAGGTGTTCAGAACTAAATACTAACCTCCTCAAGAAAGCAAAGGGTGCATAACCCACCAAGCTGGTTAAAAGATATGTCTACCACAATATTTTCCACAAGACACTTTATTATCTTCACCTGTAATTATATGAGCAAAGAAAAACTAAATGCTGAACTTTGTAATGATTAAAAAAAGTTTATAGAATGAATAGAAAACAACAAAGATTGACATGTGCAAAGAAACCTTTTAATAAATGGAAAAGAAATTCAGCACTAGAATTTAGATGAAATACTATTCATGCATCTTTAAAGCATAACACCTGGGTATTGAAGATCAATTTCTTTTTCACTGGAGTCTACCTTGCCATATTATATTCTTCAAAAGCATTGATACTAATAATATTAAATGTTTTGGCCTTTTAGGCACCTGCTTTACACCTTCTAATATGGTGAGGTTCAGCACATATTTTTTAATTTCACATGTTTTTTAATTTCACGTGTCAACTATACTAAAAATGCATCTGATGAAGGATAATTACATACATTGCAAAGAATTCTTCAACAACCCAAAAAAAATACACCAATTTACCATAATGACCAGAGTAACTGGCCATCTCTTGAGAAACCAAAAAGCCACCACATACAAATCGCACAGCATCGATTTCCATTTGTACAGCTACCAAGCACCCTCAATTCCTTAACAGAAAGCCCAAATTACTGCACCTAATACTCTTCACATAGAACAGTCATTGAAACCCAAGCCACTGAAAACTAAAGTCATGACCCAAGAAGGGCCAACCTCAAAGTCTTGACCAAAATAACAGAAGCAAATTACAATGAAACAATGCAATATCTAAAATATGAAGTAAGCAATAAATGAACCTCTAGATGTTAATAAGATCATTCGCTGTCATCAACCGGTAGTTGCTGAGAAACTATCTCAAAGGTCCCAAAGCAAACTCCATGTGAATGAAAAAAAGTTCGAACCCACAAAGCTACAGGTTCATTTTATTTTCTACCAAAAAAGGGTAATCCGCCATGTAAATTTTGTCAATAGACATTATATATAAGAAATGCAGGCTTTACAAGGGACCATAATTTTCAGGACTCCAACAGAGGTTCCATATTTACTAAAGGTATTAACTATGGACTGTGACTGTATTTAACGTCTAAGTTAGAAGACTACCTTGTCTTACAATCAAGGTGTGAAAACACTTCAGATAGAAGACAGACCTAAACAACACCAAAGAGGATATATCTCCATCAATAGTACAATACTCTCAATGTTGGTTTCCTATGTGCTATCCTATTGATGCTTATTTTTAATGGATTAACTCCTATAACTCCACACAAAATGATATTGTGGGTGGGTGAAGGAAACTTGTGCTTCCTACGCAGTTGGGACTGATAAATTGCATGTTCAGTGAAAAACATCATAAACCATCGTAAACCAAGTCTGCAATGGGGTAAAGCATAGGGACAACCAAAAGACCCTCGTATAACGTTCAATAGTGTCAAGTAGGGCATCATAATCAATGTTTTCAATTAAGTGAATATTAGTAAATTTACAAACACCTATAAAAGCAAGAGAAACAGTTACTTGCAAAAACAAGGACACCAAAGGTACGGAACAAAAGACATACTTCTGCTTGAATATACTGAACCTCCTTTACAAGAAATTCAGCATTCTCATTCTTCTCCTCATTCTCCAGCATATCACGAACCTGATTGGCCCATGTGTCTTTCAGGTTTTGATTATCACTGAAGGCTGTTAAGTCAATATCTCCATCGGGTAAATAAGTCTTCAGGGGTACAGACCCAAACTTAAAAACCTATAAAAGAATTAAGGAGTTAGAGAATTATAGTAACCTATAATAGAAAAACAACAATATAATATATTTGTAGACACCATTCTGCATACTCCTGACAGAAGATAATTTGTTGAAGTACAACTGCAAGCAATCTCCTCCTTCACTTGAACTTAATTATGCAAATCTACCGTCACCACTTCCTCTGTATAATAAGGTCATCTCATATGGTTTAAATCCTTTTTTGTTAAGGTTTCTTCCCCTGTTTTCCATAAGATAACTCTGTTAAATTATTATCCATAGGCACTATTAAAAAATCACTCAGAGGTCCTTCCTTAATTATCACTACCTCATATTGCACTGTTTCTTCATTTCTAATTGCAATTGTAGGGCTGCTTACGTGTTCATTGAATATCATAGTTTATGTAATAAGCTTCTAAACTACTAGAATCAAAGCATAACAAAATCTGGCTAAAAATACTGTAGTTGATATGACATATATTGTAATATTAACCATCACGGTCCTGTCACTTTTGTATCCCAACATTCTCCCTAACTTAGACTCTTGTTACGAATGAGGGCTAGAGCATCTAAAATTAATTATGAGAAAGCATTTTTCTTGTTTTATTGTTTTCTGCACATTTTCACCGAACAGATTTGTTAGCCAACCAGCATTACATACTCACTGTTCCTACTTCATCATCAGTCAATGAGTAACAAAATGAAAAAATGAGAAAATATTTTCATCATATGCAGCTACTATAATATAAATTATACAGATTAAAAGAACCGGATATCTTCAAAACCATGTGTGTTTTTTCCTTAAAATTTTGATCTTTCTCGTATCACAAAGCCCTTTTCTTCTTTTATATTAGTCAAATTATTTCCATCTAGCAAACATAAGATATAATCACCATCAATGTCAACTACAATCCAAATTGTAAAGTTCAGAAGATCAGCATATCAAACAATGCCGTATTTCATCAAAATGTAGGTGTCTATTACTTGTCATGATAAAATGTATAGTTACAAAGTACAGTAATTTCCAACTATAATAATCCAAATTATACATCTTGACAACTAGAGTTATAACAGTAATAACAACAACGGCCAACGAACTCGTAGAAATGCACTACCTGACAGGGGAAACACTTCGTGATGAGCCGCTCTACGTAATCTGCAACAGCTTTTCTGCGGTATTCTGATGGTTGGTTGGGCTGAATGTAGGCAATTAGCTCTGCAGTTCTCTCCTCGGCCTTTAACCATCTGTTCGAGTCAGGAACTCGAATCAATGAACCTGCATTTGGCAATAGCCCATTTGGCTCTGCCCATCCCTCATGTTCGCCACCCATGCACCCCTATAACTACCACACTTCTTCTATCACAAGTATACTATTTGGACCCAGAAAATTTAAAGCCCCCAGAAAAAAAAAAAAAAAAAAAACTTCTAACTTGAAGAAGCTTCAAGTAAACTGAGATTAATCAGCTTTTTTCTTTTCTTTTCTTTTTTGTATTTGCCCACAAAATGTTAACCCCAAGTTACAGGTAAATTTAACCCCAAAAACCAAAACTAATATACATTAAACCCTAACGCAATTTATCGTTATCATCGGAATGATGTTATAAAGGATAACAAAGGCGTAGAACATAACTGGCGAATGTTCAAGAAATTTTCAATTTCTCAACTATGGATTAGATGGAAGAAGAAAAAGAAAAAAACCCTAGAAAGAGGACTCTTGGGAAGTTGGAAACACTTGCGAACATACAATATGGAGAAATTGATTGAGAATCTTAGCAATGTCAACAAATCAAAGCGATTGAAGCAACAGAGATTGCTGTATTGAGAAGCAATGAACGAGGAAGCGAGTGGAGATCGTGGAATTGCAGAGAGAGAGATAGAGAAAACGGTGTGTGACTGTGTGAATCGGATTGCACGAGAGAGAGAGAGAGAGGGAGAGAGAGTGATGATTGATTGATTAATATGCTTTTTGGTTTCGGGGAATAGGGGTTTTTCAAATGAACTTGTACGGCGTTGTATGTATAGCGAATTTGGCAATGATGATGGAATCTGAAGATTAAAAAGTAATCAGTAATTTAGTTCGGCTAATTATTTAATTTGGCATTAACTGTGGGAGGATTTGTTATCTGCGAATTCATAACAAACATGTTTGGAGCTGACTTTTTTAAGTAAAAAATTGCATAACAGTTTAAAATTTTTGTAAAAAAACCGTTTAGAATAATTTTTAAATTTTTTTTATTTTTTTATAATAAAATAAAAAATAATTATATATATGTATAAATTATGCATAATAATTCTTAAAATATAAATTTAAATTTTTTTTAGCTCACTAATTATATTTTATAAATATAATAAACTAAAAAATTATATAGAGCCCGCGACAAAACCCTAAAAGCAGGAAAAAAAAATTTAAATCAACCTAAATAAATCTTTTTTAATCTAAAAAATTACTACATAAACTAGTAAAAAAAATCAAGGTTCAAACAAACCTTACTTATTTTATTTCAAAACCCTTCAAAATTATATATTTACTTTCATATCCTTTTTAATATTTTTTTATTTAATTTTGCTTAGGGTGTTTATTAATGAATAAGAAATTCAATTGTATAAAATAATTTTCATTTAAAATTATAATAAATGATCCACTAAAAATTTTAATATATTTATATAATAAAGTATTTAGATTTCTTTATTTTGAGCTTTTCGCAGTTTAAATCAATTAAAGATTATTGATCTGACGATTCTAATTAAATTTTCATTTATTTTAAAACTCTGAGACTTCTATCCCTGATATAACTCTCTTTATTCCTCTATCTCATACACTCAATTCTCATATGTATATTATTAGTATATAACTCTCTCTTTCTCCCTCAAACAAACATGCTTCCATCTCTCTCTCTATATATATATATGAGATAGAATGAAAATTTAATTAGGATCATCAAAATAAATAATGTTATCTCATACTTTATCTCTTAACATTCTTAGCATTATTTGTTTGTCTAGACGATTCTAATTAGACTTATTTACTCAAAAAAACAAAAATTCTCAGGTTATAGATATTCAAAGTCAAGCTAATCACCAATAAAAAAAGATTAAAAGTCAAGCTAATCACCAATAATAAATAACAAGTGATACCAATTGTGCAAAAAAAAAAAATCAAAACCAAACTAAACACTAATAAAAAATAACGAGATATATCAATTGCACCCAAAAAATTAAAAAATTTAAAGTCGAACTAATTACCAATAAAAAAATATCAATGACCAATAAAAAAAATAAGTAAAACCAATCGCACCAAAAAAAAAATAATATTCTAAACCAACTATTAATTTTTTTTTTTTACTTATTTGCATTGCTTTTCCTTTGCTAATGTTCATATTTTTTTAATACTTGAATTATGCAAAATAGACACCGAAACTATAAAAATGTCAATTTAATCAATCTTTTTTAAGTAGTGAAATTTTGATTTTGTTGATTTAATTTAATTGTAGCGTGAAAATATTTTTTTAGTATCCGATAAGTCATAACGGCAAATAATTTAAATCAATTGTCATTGCGGTTACAAATAAATTCGTTAGACAATGTTAGTTCAATTGAGTTTTTTATATTTTTTGAAAATTTTATTTGTAGTTCAATGTGAACTAGACAACCTGTTTATTAGATTTAACAAAAGGTTGAAAAAATGAACACTCACTGGGAAAGAAAGCCACCATGAAAAAATATATGGCGGGATAATTTGTAATGATGTTAATTTAAATTCATATGGATCTTAATATTATATTAATGTAATATGATTTTTTTTCATTTCAATATTTGCATTTCTTTTATTTAAGACGTTATTGGATGCCCTATTTCCTTGAAAAAAATTTTGTATTAAGAGTACTTTCAAGCACAGGTAATAATTGGTCTATATAGTAAAGTAGCTAGATTGTTTGTCTTGAACTTTTTGCGATTCAGATCGTTAGAGGATTATTGATCCGACGATCCTAATTGGACTTTCATTTCTCTTATAACTCTAAGTCTTTCATATCTCATATAACTTTTTTTTTCTCTCTATCTCATTTATCTTTTAAATACACTATATATATATCATATCTTTTAAATGTTTTAAATACAATATCCCAAACACACACTCTCTCATCTCTCATATAATTCTATTTCTCTCTTACAGACATTATTTTTATCTCATTCATTTACTTTTGTGAATGAATGTCATGTGTTAAATGTGTATTTTTATTTTCAGTCTTTTTTTATTCAAAGTTTGTTGCTTTGACATTATTTTATTATTGTTAAATGTTATGTGTGAAATATGCTATTACTATTTTCGGTACTTCTTAGTCATATATTTATATGATTTTATTGAAGATAAAATATTTAAATGTTAAAAAAAAAATTTGTAGACATTCAAAACCAAACTAATCACAAAAATCAAAAAATTCAAAACCAATCCAATCACCAATAAAAAAATAATAAAGTGATACCAATTGCACAAAAAAAAAATTCAAAATCAAACTAATTACCAATAAAAAAAATAAATAAAACCAATTGCACCAAAAAATAATATTCAAAACCAACTATAATTTTTTTTCCCAAGTTGTAGACATTAAAACTCAAGTTAATCACCGATAAAAAAAATAACAAAGCCAAATATTTGAGTAATTTTATAAAATGAAAATATATTTGAATGCTAAAAAAAAAAATTCAAAGTTGTAGACATGCAGAGTCAAGTTGCACCAAAAAAAAAAAAAAAAAATTAAATTCAAGCTAATCACCAATAAAAAAATAACAAGTGATACTAATTACACCAAAAAAACAAAAAAAATCAAAGCCCAAGCTAATAGTATTTGCATATGTGATATTGCTTTGATGAATTTTTTTTATACATTTTTTTGATAGTTCTATTAATATGAAGGATATAATCGACAGTATATTTCGGGTCATTTTAAAATAATTGATATGAATATTTTTGATCCACTTTCTTTTTTAAGATAGACAATTACTTGCGATTTTTTTATGGATTATATAGTGTATTTAGACACGAGTAATGACTATATATATATATATATATATTAGAAAATCTCACTCATCATTTCTTTTCTTTTTTTATTGGCATATCATTCATTTTTTCTCTATTTTTTTCATTAGATGATCATTTGCTGTAATTAAAAAAGAAGAAAAATTTATTAGAAAGGGTCATAGAAAATTTTTAATTGTTTTTGAGTAATAATTAATCTTTAGCTTGATTTATTTATATTTTTATTAATATTATTTTTGAGTTTGTGTTAAGAACTCAAGTAATATTTTTTTTTTCTCTTGCTTACACTGTAGCCATCATTTAACGTAACAACAGCTACCATTCAAGACATTCCTAAATCCTAGCTACCATAGATTGATAAAAACTTAAAATAGCTATGTCAAATACCATTGACTCTATTAAGAAAGAAAATGGAAGTGTTGTATCAAAAGTTATTGATTTTGAAATTAAAATTATAATTTTGTGAGTACAAGACAATTATAAAACACATAACCAATCACAGAGTATAATAGTCAACAATGAAAGTAATAACTTTTAAAATTTAAGTTAGACTTAAAAATTTGAAGTTACAATTAATGTTTAGTATTATTTATAATCAATCATAATATTTTATAATTAATATAATTTGATTATTAAAAATAATAACTTTTGTATGCTATTATTTTTTTAATACGAGTGAAAATAGGGTGTAACAGATATTTTCTTTTATGAGTGGAGAATGTACTAAATTAAACAGGTCTATCTATATACCTAAAACAAACAATTTTCAAAGGAGGGGCATTACAAAATCTATCCTCTCTCTTTTTATAATTTAATAGAATTTTAAATTATTTAATTAATTAACATCCAATCAATTCTCACCCGTAGACATGTAAATCCAATGTATTCCTAATATTTATCTATAAATACCCAATAAATTTGTGACCCTATTTTATTTATTTTTGATTATGATATATATTTTTTAAAAATTCAGTTAGAAAAAATTATTTTAAATTTTATTATTTCATGTTTATTTTTTAAAAATATTTTAGGGCGTTGATGAAGAAGTTCAATAATGTTAGTGTGTTCAATTTAATCATTATGGAGGACCAAATTAGACAAATTAGTTCATTCTATACCCATCAATCCGTCTCTTTGACTAATTATAATGATAATGTCCCATCATCTCATGTTTGGTTCAAATATTATAGAGATTTTTGAGGGTAAAAATATATTTTATCAAAAAATCATTTTAATCAGATTATTTGAACCTAAAAAAAATAAATCTGAGTTTATTTAAGACATGTTAATAATATTAAATAAACCATTTATCCGAAAGCTGATAACAGGAATAAGGTAAGGCGGCCAAGTATTATTTTTTTTCCAATCCCTCTTTCAAAATACAACACACGTGATGCGTGGGGAATATAGAGCGGTGGTGGGGAAAAAATATAAATTCGTCGGTGAATCTCAATTCAATTGGGAATTCAGCTCCGGATAAGAACAAGGGTTTGGGTGAAGAGAGAAGTGAAGAGTGTCTTTCAAGGTCTTCCAATGGCGAACTCAGGCGAGTCTGAGCAACCTGAACATTCCGAATCAGGTATACTTCTTTATTTACTTGCAATATTTTTTCTCTTCGTTTTTCCTTTTCAATCTTATTCGTATTTCTATATTTTCTATGTGTATGAGTCAACCTGCTCGTATGATAAATTTACGAGGCAAAATTGATTTGTTTGCGATTGAAGTAAGATTGCATTTTCATGAAACTTGAATTCCGTTTCTTGCTCAATGCGTCGGACTAAAATTTCGAAATTATGCTAATAAAGTACAATTTGCAGAGTAACTGGATTATCTGAAGTGGTGATAGTGAACATGATGAAATTCAGCTTATGTATGTGGACCGAAAGATGAAAGAAATTAAAGTGTAAAAAATTTAACGTAAAAGAGAAAAAAATGTGTATTTGTGTGTAAAGGATTTTTGACCTAGTTTCCATATTTTAACTTAACAATTTGTGTATCGAAGAAGCATCAATGCCAGTAGTTGTATAAATTTCACTGTTTCATGATCTGGAATTGTGAGCAAATCAGATATAAATTTTGTTTTGAGAAGAATATTTAATCTCTCTTGTAGAAGGTTTTAAAACATTTGATTGAACCCTGTGAATTTAACGATAATAACCTGTTTTCATTATATTCTAATTTAATTGTATGCTTTTACCTTTTCATCCTCATTTGCTGGTTATTCACATTCATCTTTCATTCATAATTAATCTTCATTGTCTATTTTCAATCTGCAACTTCTTGAGAAAGCGATCAAAGAAAAACATATATCAGGTAGCATCCTTCTTTTCAAGAGGAAGATAACGAAGATGAGGATTTAAAATCCGAGGGTGCAGTTATATATAATAAGAAAAAACCCACAAAGCCTGACAATATGCTGCACTTCCCTCCTAGTGCACTACAACTTCAAAATCGGATACTAAACCCATAACCCCAATCTTCCAGTTCGAGTCCTCGAAGGAGATTCAGGTTCAAAATGACAACTGGGCTACAACAACTTTGGAAATCGAAACTGTGTTCACAAAAGATGCTTGGGCATTCAAGGGGAAAAACTTGAGCACTGGCGATGAAAAATTGTATAAAGGGATTGATTACAAAGGAGGGTTTTGAAGAGAGCATACGGTTTCTGGCGAGAAAGCTGGTGGGGCTCATGGGCCCCACCATTAGAGTGTTGGCAAGGTTTGACTATTAACCGGACATTTGTAAGGATTACAAAGAGACTGGCTATTGTGGGTATGGGGATGCGTGTAAGTTTATGCATGACCGTGGGGATTATAAGTCAGGATGGCAGTTGGAAAAGGAGTGGGAGGAAGCAGAGAAGGCAAGGAAGAGAAATTTGGCTATGGAAGGGGATGATCCAGAGGAGGGAGGCGCTGACCGAAGTGATGAAGATGATGATGATTTGTTGTCCTTTGCATGCTTTATTTGTAGGCAGCCTTTTATGGATCCTATTGCAACAAAGTGCAAGCACTATTTCTGTGACCATTGTGCTTTAAAGGTAAGCCTCCTCGTGTCCTTTCCTTTCGCATATGGTTTTAATGGCTTATTTACATCGATGGCTGTAACTCTACACTTAAACATAATGGTTTGCTAGGCAGAAGTTTTTGTTGTCAGATTAGTTAATTTTTCTAAAGTTGTTTGGTAAAAGTGAGGCATTATAGGAAGCCCAAAGCCACCACTTCAGGAAAGACTGAGCTTCTCTAATCTAGATTTGTTTGAAGGACACTTGTAGTTGTAGCCTTCTGCACCCACTGCAACCAGTGACCCTCCTCATTTCTAAATAGTAATAGGAGGTTATGGTTGGTCTTATAAAAAGAACAATTTTAGAGGAGAAATAAAAGGCAATATCTGGTTGTCTGTTTGGGATCAAACCAAAAAACAAAAAATAACCTAATAGAAAACAAGATTGTTTTACTATTCAGGGTTAAAATAAAGGTCTTGCCAAATAATGTCGTCTCACTATTTAGAGTAAAAAAATTAAAAAAAAAAAAGGTTATGTGCTAACAGCTTGTGTGTTTTTTTTCACTTGTATTGAAACGTATCACCTATCACACAATACTAACAACCTAGAAAGTACGGATATGAACTTGGGGATACAACAAAGTTCAAAAATATAAGACAAAGGAACGACAATTAAAATAATATAGTATAATTTTTAGATAATAATAGAGTTATAATATATTAAAAATAAAACATATATTATAGTAATATTAGTAATAAGACCCGACAAATATTACTTTTTTTGATTAAAATTGAAATAGATCAAAATAAATATCCATCATTTTTATTAAACATCATTACACCCATTAGCAAGTTACACAACAAAAACTATGTTAAAAATAACAAAATATGTAACAAATCAAAATAATAGATTCATTTCATATATCAAACCATTTCGAAATAAAGAAAATTTTCTGTTTTTAGAAGTCCAATATGTGTGTTGGAATTAATACTTTAGATTCAGATAGATCATATCTTGTAAATTATTATTTTTTTTTTAAAAAACACAAAATAATAGATTCATTTCATATATCAAACCATTTCGAAATAAAGAAAATTTTCTGTTTTTAGAAGTCCAATATGTGTTTGTTGGAATTAATACTTTAGATTCAGATAGATCATATCTTGTAAATTATTTCTTTTTTTTTTTAAAAAACAAAAATTCTTGGTTGTATCTTGACTGTGTCCTAGCGGTATCCTAGTTTGTTTGTCTAAGTTCACTATCCAGAACACTTCTGACCGTGTTTGACACGTGTTCCACAGAGTCACAGCACCCCTTCGAGAAAAGTATTCGTGCTTCCTTCCTAGCTAACAACATTGTATCATTACATTTTTTAATAAAAATAAAACAAAAGAAGAGCGTTGAATGTATAGAATGGTGGACATGATATCTAACCTAACAAAAAAACAATCAAAACGAAAATTACAATATAAGGTCCATCAATTCAAAATAACTTTCTAATAATGCAGTAGCAACAAAAAGGAATATAGGACGGGTTGGAGGGGTAGGGGCCCTCACCAGCCCCCCCCCCCCCCAACACCACCCAAAAAAAAATAAATCCAACACCACAAACAAAGAAATAAATAATAAGGGGGAATTATAAAATGAAACCAGGAAAAGTAGTCCTAGACCATCTATTTCGGGCAAAAGATGAAGTGATCGCCCAAGAAATGACAGCACTTCATTAAGAACTGCCTTCCTTACGTAGTGAATAATTAATATTCAACCATGAAATAAAACCATTCGATGGTCAGCAAATACTATGCAGTCACTACACCCGCAAAAAAAAGACCAAGACAATTGATAGTCTTATTGTTGAAAACAGGAAAAAATGTACTAATAGATTTATATTTGTGGGTGTATATTTGAATTTATGTTTTATTTAAAATGGAGTGTGCTTATGATACAAGATAAGTTACGAGATACTACACATTTTTTTAAAAAACAACGTTCATTGCGATGCGCAATTTAACAACCTTGTTGATATGTAATAGATCCACCTTTGGTGTTAAAGATGCATTGCATTATGGATATGACTCCTTTTCAAATAGGGGTAGGTAGAATATCATTAAATTACATCTTGAAAAATCCAGTTTAGGATTCTTGGGAACTTAATGACCTTTTCTCATCTAGACCATTCAAGGGGTTATTGATTGGATGACCTGCCAATTTTCTGCTTAATTAGAGAGGGGACGTATCCATGTATTTTAATAAAATATATCTTTTAAACTATACTTAGCTTTCAATTGCCAAATGCTACGATGAATGCTTTACCTTGTTGTTTATTATTATGCTTTCCTTAATTTTTTATAACTGATCAGTGTTCGTTGTGATAATCCTTAATGGTTGTTGTGCTTTCATCATTTGTGCTTGAACAGCCATTGGGATAGATCTTAAGAAATTTCTTAACAACAATCAAATTTGTGTTCTCATATGATATATATTGTGCATGTTTTACTTTATATGCAACTAATCCTGATTCTATATTCTTTTGTTCCATAGCACCATTGAAGTAATAAAAAGTGTAACAAAAAGTGCTTTGTATGCAACGAGGAAACCCATGGCATATTCAACATTGCTTTTGAGATACACAAAAAGATGGCTGCTGAGAAATATTGCCGAGTTTGGCATTCTTATGTTTGTTCACAAGTAAGTTTTCTTCTTATATGAGCTTGTTTATTTTTTGTCTTTATAGATACTAGCAATGCACGACACGCGTTGCACACAAATATTTTATAAAAACTGTGAATTATATGTGTAATTAAATTAAATAATAAATTAAGTACTAAATAATTAATCTGTATTTTATTTATTAATTTATGCTATAAATTTTTTAGTACCTAATTTGTCATTTATTTAGGTGTATCTACGACCCCTTTAGGCATATGCACATCTAATTATATTATAGACTTATTAATTTTTATTTTATTAAATAAATTAATTAGATCGCTTATAATATTATTATATGATTGCATATCAAAGAAAAAAATATAAAATATATTGGACCATAGAATTCAACCTAGTAACTACATGTGTATAATAATTTAATATATATATATATATAAGACTTTTCTTCATATAGATATAAATAATTGTATGTAACTATACTACTAATAAATGAGTTCAAAAGAATTTAAAAGTCTTTATAAAAAAGTCCAAAAAAAGTTGAAAGTCAAATAGGTGTAAAAAATATAAATTAGATGAAATTATAGAGGTGAGTATAATTGACTTTATCATAATAATTAGGGATAAAATAGGAAGTCAAAAGTTTTTCGTAGATGGTGACATTTATAAGTAGTATATATATATTAGTTTCACAATTAACATGATGCTTACATAATTTCAGTGGTTTAATTATGTAACTATACTACTAATAAATGAACTCAAAAGAATTTAGAAATCTTTATAAACGAGTCTAAAAAAAGTTGAAAGTCAATTAGGTGTAAAAAATATAAATTAGATGCAATTATAGAGGTGAGTATAATTGACTTTATCATAATAATTAGGGATAAAATAAGAAATCAAAAGTTTTTCGTAGATGGTGACATTTATAAGTAGTATATATTAGTTTCACAATTAACATGATGCTTACATAATTTCAGTGGTTTAATTATGGATGCATGCAATTCCAATTGGATTTTGGATTATTGACAAAATCATGTGGTTTGTCCCTTAAACTTTCTAAACACTATTAGATTCGGTTGGCGCTTAAACTGTTTGTTAACTATTATATCAATGGCCATGCTCGATTTCATACTTGTTTCTTATTTGGTAAAGAATTTATTGCACTAGTTCCTCTATTTTCATACCAAATTTTCTGCTTGGCAGGCTGGGCTCAAAACTCTTTACATAGAAGATCAGCAATCAAGTTCATTCTCTGTGATCTAATCTGAACGATGTCCGAACTGTTATCATCATTATAGGTAATGTATTCAATGGTATCACGACCTTTTTCCATTTTAATTTTGCACACATGCTTCACCTAGATGCTTTAATTTTTTGTTGGTTGCCAAGTGTTCAGCGGAATGGATGATGCTTTATTGTAAGCTGGTCTTGGTGGTGGTTGATGGTGTTTATGCTAAGGCTCGGGACTTGAGTCCATATTGGTTGGTACAACTATTTTACCCAATTCAATCCTACCCAAATTGAGACCAAGGATCTAAATATCATGTTGAAACGTCAAAAATGTTTTGGATTTTGAACACACCAACACGAAACATAGGTGGAAACAAAAATTCATAAATTTTGAGCGAAACATCACTATTTTAGACCGTTTTGGTGAAAACAGTGACTTGATTCGATTGGTATAAGAAAATTGCTGGTCCACTCCAAAAAAGGGAAAAAGATTCTTTCCGTGTAAAGAGCCTAGAAGAAAGATCATCAGAGAGAGAGAGAGACAGAGGATAGGAGTTTAGTAGCTAACAACTTATCTCCTTGAGTTCAGATTTGAGCAGATTTAAGCCACCTTTCACTCCAACGGTTCAGATCCAGCCTCCAGGTATGAGCTTCTTTCTTTCTCTTTTTTTTTTTCTCTTTCTTTCTTCTTCTCCGTTGGGTCTTCATTGATTTTGTTTCTCGGTGTGATCTATAGATCTGGTGGGATGAGAATGACACCCTTTTTCTCTCAAATCTGTAGCTCTGGGATGGAGATGGGCTGGTGAGGCTTGTGGGTCTTCTCTTTCTCTCAGATCTTCTCTCTCTCAAGCGTCTCACTGTCTCGCCGTCTGTTTTATCTCTCTTTCTCTCTCGTGCGTTTTGTTGAGATGTGAGAAGAGCGTTTATTTTAAGTTTTAACCCCTCTCCCCCTTTTTTATCTTGATATTTTATTTTTGTCATGCCTTTTATATTAGTTAATTAAATTAATACCCTTTCCTCCCTTTTTTTTATCTATTATCATTATTAATAACTCTTGTTATAATCCTCTTGATGTGGATCGTATTAGGGAAGAATTAGAGATGAGAAGCGAAGAGAAGAAGAAAGAGATGGAAAAAGAAGAAGAGGAGGATGAGAATAGAGAGAGAATTTTAAGAGGAAGATTCAATATCAATAATCAAGTCTTACAAAACAAATACCATATTCCCTATATATATAGGGAGAGCACAAACCCTAAAAGAAATAAATAGTCATAATGACAACTAAATTCTTGAAAAACAAAATGTCAAATAACTCCTAATTCCTGCGTCTACGCCTACTATAACAAAATATAATCCGATTTCTATCATTTTCCCCTGGCTGAAAAGAACTCGCCTCCGAAGAGATACGATCATAATAATGCTCTAGAAGATCAGGGTCAAGCCGACGAAACTCCTCATCAGTAATCCATGAATCATCAGTCTCTGGACGATCTCTCCACCGAACAAGATAATGACGATTTCCTCCATCCGAGGAGCCCACAATCTGATCGTCAAGTACATCAGCAATCTGGTCATGTAGCTGTGGTAGAAAGAGTGGAAGAATAGGAACTGTAAGTCCTCCACATTGAAAATAGGACTAATACCCATATTTGAAGGTAAGTCCAGGTGATATGCATTAGGTCCAAGTTTACGAAGAATACGAAAAGGGCAAGTGGCTCGAGCATGTAATTTTTTGAAAGAATTTTTAGGGTAACGTTTAGGACGCACACGAACCATGACGTAGTCTCCCAGAATAAATTCTTTATTCCTACGATGAACATCTGCAGCGAATTTATAATTATCATTACTTAATGTAATTTTCTGTCTTATGTCGGCATGTAAGTCATGAATATGTTGGACAAAAGCTTCGACTGAGTGTGAATGACAGGAATAAGGAGGTAAAGGTAATAAGTCAATAGGTTGTCTGGGAGAATGGCCATAAACAATCTCAAAAGGGGATTTACCCGTCGACCTGTTGAAGGAGTTGTTATAGGCAAATTCAGCAATAGGCAACAACAAATTTCAATTTCTCATTTTCTCATCCACTGGACACCTAAGCAAATCTCTCCAACTACGATTGACAACCTCAGTTTGACCATCGGTTTGGGGATGAAAGGCAGAAGAAAACTTTAGATTAGTTCCAAAGAGTTTTCAAAGTGTCTTTCAAAAATAACTCACAAATTTGACATCCCTATCAGACACAATAAAAATAGGCAACCCATATAGTCAGATGACCTCTCTAAAAAATAACTTTGCTACATGTGAGGCATCAATAGACTTAGTGCAAGGAATGAAATGGGCCATCTTAGAAAACTGATCCACGACAACTAGAATGAAATCATGACTACGAGCTGTTTTAGGCAATCCTAAGACAAAGTCCATACTAAGGTCTCTCTATGGTGTGTGTGGAACTGGTAATGGTGTGTACAATCCAATGTTTTGTTTCCTAGCCTTTGCTAACTGACAAGTGCGATATTGTAACACTATTCTAATAATGTCACGCCTCAAAGTGGGCCAATAAAACCTATCTTCAACAAGTGCAAATGTCTTATTTTCACCAAAGTTGCCTGCCAGACCTCCCGCATGTAATTCCCAAATTAGGAAATCCCTAAGTAAAGTACGGAGAATACATAAGCGCGACCCTCTAAACAAGTAACCATCTCTAAGGAGGAAGTCAATGTACTCATGACGGTTATCAGTTTGAACATCCTGAAAAATGATACCAAAGTCAGGACAAGAGGCATACTCATCTTTAAGCCTGGTCAAAGCTGAGCACATGAACACTTATAGTCCGTAAAACAACAACTACACGGCTAAGAGCAGCTGCAGGCTTGTTTTCAATACCCGCTTGGTGGTGAAGAACAAAAGTGTACTCTTGAAGGAACTTAACTCACCGAACGTGCTTAACACTTAATTTTCTCTAGAAATGAAGGTATTTCAATGCCTGATGATCAAAATATAACACAAACTCATTTGGCAATAGATAATACCTCCAATGGCGGATAGCTTGTACAACAACGTATAACTCTTTGTCATATGTAGAATATCGCTGTTTAGCGTCATTGAGTTTTTCGCTGAAGTAAGCAATAGGATGACCTTCTTGACTCAAAACTCCACCTATCCCTATACCAGATGCATCACAGGCGACCTCAAACACTTTAGAAAAATTTGGGTGACGAAGGACAGGTGCCTCTATTATCTTGTGCTTAATTTCTTGAAAGGCTCTAGTTGTAGCAATAGTCCATTGAAACTCTTTTTTTTTATGCACTCTATAATTGGAGCCATAATGGAACTAAACCCCTTAATAAAACGTCTATAGAAGGTGGCCAATCCATGAAAGCTTCGAACTTCAGAAATTGTTCTTGGCTCTGGCCAATTCCTAATAGCACTAATTTTCTCTGGGTCAATTGCAATACCATGCGCAGAAATAACAAATCTAAGGAAAAGTACTTGAGTTTGCATGAAGGAGCACTTCTCAAGGTTCGCATAGAATCTTTCCACCCGTAATGTCTGCATAACCTGTTGAAGATGATCCAAGTGCTCTTCCTTAGACTGACTATAGATGAAGATGTCATCAAAATAGACCACCACAAATTTCCTTAGGAAAGGACGCAGTATCTGAGTCATAACCCTTATAAATGTGCTAGGTGCATTAGACAATCCAAAAGGTATGACCAACCACTCATAAAGTCCATCCTGGGTTTTAAATGCGGTTTTCCATTTATCTCCTGGTCTAATTCGAATTTGATGGTAACCATTGCGCAAATCAATTTTGGAGAACCAAAGTGCACCGGCCAAAAGGTCAAGCATATCTTCAAGTCTGGGTATAGGAAATCGATACTTGACTGTAATTTTGTTAATGACACAGCTATCAACACACATTCTCCAAGAGCCATCTTTCTTAGGGGTCAACAAAGCAGGGACAACACATAGACTAAGACTATGACGAACAGACCCCTTTCGCAAAAGTCCATCTACTTGCCTTTAGAGTTTAGCACGTTGAGTGGGGTTCATACGAGAATGGGGAAGATTAGACAACTGAGACCTAGAACTAAGTCAATAGCTTGCTAAACATCTCTCATAGGTGGCAACTCATCGGGTAGTTTCTCAGGAATCACATCATGGAACTCTCTTAATAGACTATCAACCTTAGGCAAAAGATCATCCTTAGAGTCCAAAAGACTCTGAGACACTTCTTTGACAACTAGAGCTACCACTATGTCAGACTCTTTTTCTTTTTTTCAAATTCTTTATGGGTCAAGATGTGAAGGTCCTTCTTGTGAATTGTTTGGGAAGATGACCTATGCTTTGAATTATTACGTTTTGATGGTTTTGCAGGTTTTAACTTGATGGTTTTTCCCTTGTGCTTAAAAACATAGGTATTTTTCTTCCCATAGTTTGTCACATCTAGATCCAACAGCCACGGACGACCTAATAAGATATGAGCGACATCCATGGATAAGACGTCACACCATATATGATCTGAATAGTCACTCATCTAAATATGGACTAAACATCTTTGTGAGACTGGTAAAGAGGTCTTGTCAACCCATGCAACCTTGTAAGGTTGTGGGTGTGTCTCTGGCTTAAGCTGCAACTGAGCTACAACTGACTTAGAGATGACATTCAATGAACTTCTTCCATTAATGACAACCTTGCAAACTTGACCCGCACATCGGACTAGAGTATGAAAAATGCTGGTACGTTTCCATACTTCGTTGTCTAAAAAGGTGGATAAGATGCAGCGCATCACATTGACACAGGTGTTATCGTTCTGCCATTCTTTCTCACCTTCATCTAATAACTCTAGGGGTTCCTTATCTAAAGGATCAACTTCTTGGTCAACATCCTCTTCATCAAGTGAATTCCCTAACCCCTGGTCAATGGTCAAGGTACGCTGAGGGCACTGTGAAGCAATATGACCCTTGTCATGACAACGGTGACACTCTATGGAAGAACTGTTCTGGCGAGAACCTGTGAGTGTAGAATCTCGACCCCTAGTGGTATTACCTCTGAAGTTGGGATAAGTGTTACCCTTGGATGTGACAGGCCCTGATTGGGTGACGCCTCGAGACTTATCAAATGGGACTGACTTTAATGGTTGAGATTCTCTTGTTTGAGAAGGCATTCGACGCTGAAAGAGTGGCCTAAGATATTGTTCAATCTCTAAGGCTTTATAATATGCTTTCTCAACCGTTTTAGGAGAGTGTAATTTAATCTCTTTTAATCTCAAGTCTCAAGCCATTAATGAATTTTGTAACTGTTACCCAAGGCTCTTCCTTTATGTCATATAACAAAAAGAGCTCTTCAAATCGAGCTGGGTAATCAGTCACACTCGAGGTCAATTGATGCAAGTTCACCTACTTGTCCAAGAGTTGACACTTAATAGTAACTAGGGAGATATTTATCTCGCAATCTTTGTTTTATCTCAGCCTATAAAGTAATGGGTTGTCCCTCTAAGGCTCTTGGTCTCGTTGGACTCCCTGCCAATATCTCTTAGCCGAACCAACGAGTTTTATTTTGGCAAAACGAAATCATACCAAAATAGTCATCCATTTCATCCAACAAATCTAAGAAAACAATAGGATCTGACCTACCATCAAAACTAGGAGCATCCACTTTGACTCTTTATGTGATATCCCTAGATTCTTTGTAGACATGCCTATGTCAAGGATTATGGTAACGCGAAAGGGGAGGCCTATGGTTTTGGACACGGGGTCGAAAGGGCTTACAATAGTCATCCATATCACCCTCTGCTGAATAGTCAGACATG